TGGCAAAGTTTTAAAATATCTGTGCATGGGGTCAGAGCCGCCTTAAAGTTTTGAAAATTTAAGGTGGCTCTGAACCCTTTGCACAGTCAACCCTTTCCCGTATCTTTCTGTTTTTCAATACCCAATGATACCCCAGCTAAGACCATTGTAACAAAGACTGGGATTCCCTTAGACCGTCATTTTGCACATTTTCACCTATCTGCAGAAACAAGATATTTCGCGGAAACCAAGAGACCCTTGTGCTAATTACTGTTCTAAAAATAGAATGATACGGGAAAGGGGCGGCCCTCGGTTGTAGTACGTATGGAGGCTCCTGGTAATGGGCTCCTGATCATGCTTATCAAAATTTATTAGTATATAAATTCACCGTGCCGTTTTTGAATTATAAGCCCTTAAAGCTGAAATTAAGGGTGTTTTTAGCGGATTATACTGTTGCTATGGTAACCTATTGTGTCACCAAAATTATAACAACGTGTTCACCAATGATTTAGTTGTTTTTCTGATACCGTGATTTTAGCATCAAGTGATAAAGAGTGATTATAATTTATATTAACCCATCAAAATCTAAGTGGTCGAAACTACTTTGAGAAAAATAAGAATTTTCTTCCTCGATCGGAAAAACAATATTCTTATAAAAAGAAAGGTGTGTATGCTTATATGCTTACTTCTGGCCATCTTCAACAGAGAGAGAAAAACTCCTTGTTTCCCGCATTACAAGCTTGTGCGTCTTTGTTTTGAATTCAAGTCACATGAGCCAGAGGCAGTGATGTTCTTTGTTAACGTTTAACTAGAGAACACCAAGCATCAAGGTATATATCTGAGAATCCAGGTATCACTACCCCTGGATTTATTGATCATCGGCATTCTACAAAGGAAACTGAAAAATTGTTTCCCCAGCGGCAGTTCGTGCTAATATCTAGCAAACAGTTCAAAAAGGCTCTGATCGAGGAATGCAGTGATTACACTGAAGTCAGTTGCAGAAAACAAACGAACATATAATTATTTGGAATAAATATGGGAGGACGTGAAATTTATAAATCTTAGAAAGTCCAAGACGTGAGAAATTCACAAACCTTGCCAATACTCACATTCAGATTTAAGGGAATGACGCATTGAACTGAAGGTCACACGTGATGTTGCAAACTTGTACCAATGCAACAACAACAACAACAATTTATTGGTATTC